GCTCCTGCTGTGCCGTGCTCGGGAGCGCTCAGCAGGAGTGGCTGCTGGAAACACACTTCAGTGGCTTCAAACTCAAAGAACATCACTGAGGAAGGTGGCTCAGTGTCGGAGACGGGATCAGACTTTAAACGTTCAGGGATTGCTGACCCGGAGGGGTTTCTGGCTCTGGCAGCTTCAGTTACAGACCTTGCAGGAGCGAGAGGCCCCAGCCTCAGGAAGCTGCTGTCCAGCCTCTCTTGGTTGCTGACGGGGGATTTTGGAAGGCAGGTGAGAGATAGGGGTGGCTTTCCTGACACTGGGGTGGCTGATGGCTTGGCAAACGCCATCTTCTGACTGCGGCACATTTCCAAATCTGCCTTGCCAGTGACACCTTTAGTTAGCGATTCTGACCGCGTGTTCTGGTGGATGGCGTCTCCTTGGTCGTCTCCATGTGACACGTGCTGTTCATCATCAGAAATGATCTGCGGATCTTCGCTGCTCTCCAGCTTCACCTGATGTCTGTCTGGTTTGATTTCAGCACCCGGTACTGACAGATGCCGCTCCACTGCAACGCGTGATTTTGTGGGTTTGCTGGTGTTTTGATTTTCTCTGGGTGATGGTGCGTTATGTGTTACGTAGACTGCGGTGTCTCTCTGCTGAGTGACCCCTGGAGATCCGCTACATGCACCTGCTTTAGCACTCTCAAAAGATGGGGTCATCCTGCACCTCTTTTCACCTAAATTAGCTTCCCTTGGTGAAGCCTCAGAGGATGCCAACCTTGTTCTCTTTTCCGCAGCTTCATCCTCTCCTCTGCTCGTGACACGTAACGTTCCACACTGCCAGTGATACGCGTGTCCCACTCCACACATCCACACAACAGAGTTGTCCCTGCTAGGGCGACCCACGCTCCGCACATTTTCCAGGGCTGGGATTTGGTTGCATATGGTCCCGTGAGTGTGCGCCCAGGTCACGAGACTGGAGAGATCCGTGCGAAGTGAATGGGCATCGCCGCAGCTTCCGTCGCGGACGTGCTTGCTCTGTACAAACATGATGGAGACAACTTCAGTGACAGAGGATGTGCATAAAACAGCAGCCTAACTGCGACTAACTCCCACTGAGCCACCCAGCAGCAGCCAGACCAGTGAATGGCAGCATGACGTGCAGTGCAGTGCTCCGTTTGCAAGTCTGTGCCCACAGACAGGGTCTGTACCCACAGACTGGGTCTGTGCCCACTTATGGAATACGATGAGGGAGAGCGTCAGGAATCGGCTTCTCGGCCTCCACCTCCCCGTGGCCAATGGGGCTCAGACTCCTCCATTTGTCAAATGGGAGCATCACTCGCATCAAAGGGAAACTGGGTGTGTGAGGGAGCTCTTTGTGGGATGCTTTTCGGGAACTAAAACATGGACCTTGCATCCTCGTATCTAGAAATTGTTTTAAACACATCTACGGGTTTTTCTACTAGAATTGATTGTAAGAAACAACTGTCTATGGCATCACTTATGCTACAGAAGAATACTCACCATGCTGCTGTTTTCTGTCTTACTGAGCCTGCCCTCAGGTGGAGATCAGTAAGTGACTGTTTGAATACTCTTCCTCTGTCTCTCAGAACCTAAAATAATCATAAATAATCATCATACATGTGTGTATATACATTAAAAAAACATGTCTGACTAGCAGATGCAACTAAATTTTTCAAGGCCCAGTCTAAAATAAATGCTACTGCAGAACATGTGCCCTCATTAAGGTGAGCTCCCACTGAGCTCCACTGAAGTATACACAAAAAGCTTGTCTTGTGTAAATATTTGCGGTATTAGCCTCTGCAGTGTCCCAATCAAAGCTGAAACAATATAAATATTGCAAACAGAATTTAAAAACCAGCCTTTGCGAGATGTTCCTCTCAGCTCTGGCGCTGTGAACGCAGGCTGTGGTCAGCGATCTTCACTTCTCCAAAGAGCGAACTGCAGAGACAGAAGAACCAGAAATAGTGAAGCTGCTTCAGATTCTGACATTATCTGGCTTTGCAAACAGTAAATAGAAGAGGAAATTTCTGAACTGAAGAATTCTCTGCACATGGAACTTGCACGCACTAGAAACCAAACCTGAAATTCTGCCTTCTGTATTGAACAGGTCTATGCAGCCCAGAAACTCATCACAGCTCCTGTGAACCAGCTCAGAGCGATGGGGCACATCCCCACCGAGCCGTGCGGTGCTGTGTGACTGATAGCACTCACCTCTACAGTTCTTAACAGCAGCCTTTGCTCCAGGCACCTCAGCCCATTATTAATGAAAAGCTTTGCATTTGGTGGTGGTCAGAGATGCCCTGGGCATGGGAATCTCATCTGAACTAGTTTTTGGGCATCTCTGGCCCAAACGTGACGTGGCTTCCAGTGAGAGCAGCCCTGGGCTGTGGAGGTGAGCGCAGGCGTGGGGACAGCCCTCCCGCTCTGCTGCTCCCGTGCTCCCAGCGCTGCCGCAGCCAGAGGAGCCCATGGCAGCGGACGGCTGCTCCGTGGTTCCTGAGTGGCATTTGTCCGTGTGGGTTTATTCACAAGCACGGCAGTCAAACTGCGGGAATGGCTGTCAGCGTGCAGGCTGGAAACAGCCATGGCCAGCCTATTCCTGGGCCTTGCGGTGCCTCAGAAAGCTGAATGCAGACCTACAGGAGAACCATTTTCCCATTCTGAGATAGAGTTTTATGTTCACGTTCACCCTACGCCATTCGTCCCAAAGGGCTGAGCTGCCTGGACAAAGCAGCAGGAGCTGACATGGAATGAGCTGGTGCTTACCGTGCTGTGGGAAAAGGTAGCAGAAAGGAAGCTCTGCAGGTCACAGGGCCAAGAAGTCACTGACTTGGCAGATGAACATCGATTGCCATCACTGTCCTCTCTAAATGGAATGCTTTTATCTCTCCTTATCTCCCAGCACATGTCTTCCTTTTCCTGATCCCTCTGAAAACCCCCTTTTTTCTCCTGATCCTTGGTTCCAGATAAGGGCTCTGGTGCTCAGCTGAGGATGCTGCTGCAGCCGCCCCTGCTCTCATGTTTACACCAGCTGAAAGCAACTCGAGCAAACCCTCAAGTGGGACGAGTCTGGATTTACAGTTATAACCGAGTGGAAAAAACCGAGATCTGTGTTTATCCACAAAGGCTGAACTGGTGTGCTGCTCCTCTCTTCAATTAAGAAAAACTGCCACCGTTTTTATCTGCTTCCAACAAAACCCGGGTGCCCATGGGCAGGGTTTGGGGTTGAGTTTGTTTCTGAAGCCGGGTGCCTGGGTCAGGACCTGCCTGGCTGCGGGCACTGCAGCGTTTAATTCTCTTTGCAGGAGAGGCTCCCATCTGATAACGGACACTGCGTGTGCAGGACCCACACCTCTGCACCGAGAAACAGGACATACCAAGGCTGTATGAGAAATGTTTTCATTTGTTTAACCATGGGGAATTTGGTGCACCGAGATAACCTAAAGTTAAGTGAATTCACGCTCATTAGAGGAAAGATTGAAAAAACCAAATCTGCAAAATTTTGTGTCCTTGTGCACCTGGGCTGTGCAGTGACCTTTCAAGATGTCAGCACAGTACATGCTGATCTTACCCCTGTATTCAGGAAAACGTGGCCACGTCATTTCAAAGGTGTCTGCAGCATTTCGGTGGAGCCCTTCAAACTCGAGGCTAGAAGCACTGAAACGCACGCTCCCTTGTAAGACTTCCCTGCTCTGCTTTCAGCCCTGGGGAAAGCATGCACAGCACTTTGTGAAGGTGGTTCCCGTGTGAGGACACAGGTACTGGAGTCACCTGAATGTCCCCATCTAAGTCTCGCTCTGTGCAATTCAGTGGGCTCTGTGCAGCACCACAGTGTGCGGGAGCGTCTCTGAAACTCTCAGCACACACAGGCTTATAGGAGAACCAAAGAGAGAAACCGATTGTACGGGCACCAAAAGCCTTTAACCACGCTGTTCCTGTCCCTGCACCCTCTATCAGCCCCAGCGATGTTCCTCTTCAGTCTGGTAACGTCCATGGCATGGGTGAGAAACCTGAGGTGTGCACAAAGCGAGCCAATAGGAGAGCTTTGGCCTTCCGGCTCCAGATAAGAAATAGGAAACGGGAACAATCCCGGCAGGAAAACAACAGGATACAGCACAGCAGCTCTTGAACACAAGTCCTGCCCCTTCCCAGCCAGGGGTGGGGTGGTGTGCTCAGGGGTGGTGTGGGGTGCTCCACTCACCCTAGAAGCACTTGTGGGGACACAGGATGGCCATAAAACACACATTGTAGGAGAGGAAGTGTGGCCAGGAGCTGTCAGGGATGGAGCAAGGACACTGGCGGGGATGTGGGGCCTGGGACAGGAATGGGACTGAGCTGTGCCAAGCCACATCTGGCTGCAAGGTGGGAGCTGAGAGCGGAGCAGGAGTAGCTCACAGCTGCCACAATGGTCGGGCCTGTCCCACCACTTCTTAGCAAGGGCCGTTGGGGTGGATTAATTATTTCCCAGCACACGGTTTTTCCTGTTCTCAGCAGTTTCTCTCCTCTCCTCCCCTGTCCAAAAGCCTCCTCAGCAGCTCCTCAGCTCTTCTGCTGCGCCAGTGCCCCCCCGACCTGCAGGAGCAGCTCCCGAATGCCGCTGTGCTTGCTGAGCATGGTGCTCCTCCATTGCAAGGTGCTCTCAGGAAACAGCACGTGGGCTGTCTGACGGAGGGCAGGGTCTGACTGCACACGCCAGCTCTGAGCAGAGACTGCTGCTGGATACGGGCCTACAGCACTGCGTCCTCGAACAACAGCGCTTCTGTTCAAAGAACGGGAAACCGTTTTGCTCTTAAGTCTTCATTATCTTTCTCTTGAGGGTCTGCATTTCGGAGCTGCTGTCCTTGCAACGTAACTGAGCTCTACATCCAGTCTTCCTACCAGAGCTGACAAAAGCAGCAGCCAGCTGGCAAGGGATGGCCTGGTCCAACAAGCAGCAATCAACCACTGAAAACAGCTGGAGCAAAGGGAAAAATGCATTTCAACCATCAGCTTCTATAAATAGGTCCTCGTATTTTGTTTCCTCAGGAAGAAGTGGGAAAGCTGGAACTTGTGAAGGGCAAATCTGTTACTCGGGCAGAGAATGCTACAATTATAAGTGTTCGTTACCCTGTAACGCTGCCGTTTGTGAGCAGTTTCACACCTGGGGTCAGTGCTGCGGGGAGAGGCCATTGCTGTCCGTAACACTCCTATGTGCAGGCTCCTTCACTTTGCCTTGGGTATCTTTTATTTCCAGCCTTGCGCCGTGGCCGGGTGCACAACTGCACCAGCACAGCACTGACTGTGGGAACTTGCTTTGTTCCCCAGTCATTTGTATTCAAATCATCTTCTTTCCCTTAATTAACAGAAGAAGACATCTCTTGGCAAGAAGGCACCTGTAGGAGCGTTTGCAACTCTCTTAATTGCTTCTCTCGCTGTTCGTGGTATTTTTCATCAGGCACAAACCATGGGGTAACATCACCATCTCCTACCATAAAAATCGCCGTTAATCCTCACGGTTTGGTGGCGTTTGACCGCGATGGGCTCAGGAATCGGAGAGGAGCGATGCAGAGCTCGGGTCGCGCTGTGTATCCCTGCGGCGGGGCCGGCAGA